AAAATACATTAGTGGGTTTATTTTGTTGCTCGCACAGCCATCTTGACAATGATTTCTCATAACACTTGGTTTGAAGTGTGCCTCTTAAAAACTTCAGTTTGGAGGGCTATGTAGCCCTAGCACTTCGCCCTACCCTTCTATTCCAACAAGAGTTGGGCACCCTACCTCTAAACATGAACATGTACAACAGAGGGGTAAGGGCTAAGTGGTAGAGGCAAGGGATGTATTGGAATTAGGCCAAAGTCTCTATTTCCTACACCAGCTCCACTACAGAGTCAGTACATTGGATCCTAGTGAAGATCAACTTGCAGGTTGACAAGTGTCTCTGTGTCTCCAAGTCAATTCAATAAGCACAGGTAAAATGTAACACAGATCTGTTTAAAGTACATAAACCGTCACCCTGAGAAGTGAGAGGTACATCACAGCACATGAGCTGTGGTGAGGCTGAATCATTAGGACAACAAGGCCTGCCTGTAAAATGTAATACACGTAAACACATTTTTCTGTGAAACTCTGGCAAATTGGTTACAAGATTTCATCAGATTGTTATTCAACCACCCAACCCAAACCTCAGCGTTGAAAGGATCGAGCTCTGATGGTGACTGTTTGAGAGGCCCAGCCGACTGGAACCTCATGAATCACCGCATCTGCCACCTTCTAGCAAACCACTTTAATCTGAGAGGATGGCAGAGGAACAAAGACAGAGGAAGTGAGTGAGAGAGGGAGAGAGGTGGTGGTGGGTGGGAGTGGGAGGGATGATAACCAGAACCAGACCATTCCCACGTCACAGATCTTTGCCAATTGCAGTTAACATAATGCAGAATTGTGGGAACCATTTAATTCTCTAACCTCATCCCTTCTGTTGCAATCACCCTATACATGACCTCTGGGGACTCCGGCTTACAATATTTCACATGAAGTTTGTGTCATATTTGACAATTTAACACAGACGTATTCAAAAATATGTGATCTATTTGCGTAAGTCCCTATGGTAAGAATTCCCAAAGGAGTCATGCCTCTTACTGTACTTCAACCACAGAAAAAAAATGGGTGTATGAGACAGTCAGTTATTAAACCAGGCAGCAATTAGGCCTATACACGAGAGAAGGCAATGTGGACGGCCTGTCGATCCTTTGGTCCCTGACCAACAGGAAGCCGGGATAATCACATAATGCATTCCCAGCCATGAGAGAAAATCAAGTCAACTGTAGAAAGTCATTTTGGTTTCTTTGGTTCCAATTACCATTTTAAAGGATGTTTTGGTAAAGCTGCAATAAAAATCTGTTTCGGTCATCAATTAAAATACTTGGGTGGCATATACACTGACATTTAAAGTGGCTTAGTGGTCACTATACATTACTGTATATTTATGAGCAGCGCTCACAGATGTAAAAACATTTAAAAAATATGTGACGGTGACACAAGCCACCAGCACACTTGCAAACATCACAATTCATTTTCAGCAGCCTTTTTCTATTCAAATAGACACATTTTGTGCTTTAACTTATCATAATGAAGTAAACGTTGATTGCACAATGTAATGGCTATAGAATAATGACACCATGTCAGCCACTGGTACGATCCCCTGGGAAATTTAAGGCTTGATTTACAGCACAAAGGAAGTGTGTCATCCATTGCGCAACTTGATACTTATTGGTAGCCATCCCCAGTTACCACAGAGTATCAATGTACATTAGAAAGCCTCCATCGTTGTGTAATACATTTGCCTGTCTATTACATTACAAGTTTGTTTGCTTTGTTCTGATAGTGGTACTTTCCCACCTAAGTGATGTCATCGGAGCTGCCATGGTAGCAAGTGGGCAACACGAGGTTTAGTTTCAGGTTTGTTTGCTGTGGTTGATACTTAGAGCAGTGGTTCCCAACTGGTGGGTTACAGGTCGCATTCTCAATGGACCGCAAGTGACTCACAAACATGTCAAGTTTGTAAGGAAAATGCACTTTATTTTTAAATACAGTGAATTTCCGGCACAGAGCTTTAATTTTGAAGTGCTGTTTCCTGCTGCAGAGTGAGGAGTAAGGGACCTCTTTTTGACGACATGGCCAACTGCAAGTATGATGCTGTGTGGACCTTGAACTAACGACTAAGGAGAAATCTGGACTCTGTGGCTGGACCAGTTAGGAACCAATGATTTAGAGGACGGTGTTTTTCCTCTCACATTTTTCGCCATTCACCTGTGCTCCCTTTGTTGTTTGTAAATGCTTTACTGTAAGTGTGATGCCATTTATAATTGAAACCCAGATATAACTGTATTATATGCCAGGCTCTGAGGACAACAGAAAGCAGTTGTCTTTGCGACAGTGGCCCCAACACTAATACTTGGAAACACTAGCGAGGGAAAGCTGTCTGTTTCCACTTTAAAGGGTAATAAAAAAACAGTGGTAAATGTTATCGTTAAAGCTTGGATGAATAGTTTTATCTATGCATGAATTACTTGAGAAGAAAAAAGAATTGCATATTTATGTAGAGCCTTTCGCAAGAAAATTACAAACTACTCCACAATGTGAAAAAAGAGAAAGTCTGCCTGGAGCACAGTGCAGTCGGGTTGTCATTACCACACACTAAATGTTCAACTACCATCCTCTTTAAAAACCTGCAGAACATTTGGTTTAATTCAAATAATGAGGCCAATCAGTTTGCACCAGCATCTCTAGAGAAACCACTCATTATTTGTAATGATCAAAAGGCTGTTTTAATGACTAGGTTGAAACAAAGCGGATACTCTTTGCCACTGGCAAAACTTACAGACCACTGCAGAAAAGACTCAGTGACTGGAAGACAAGTCTGCACTAAATGTGGTGTGGGGATTTTGGTTAGGTTCAGCCACTGAGTTAAGTTTCACCTGTAGCATGCAGTATATGTGGCTTTTATGGTATATGTGTAAGCAGTGGATGCACCTTACACTGTATACTTTAGCACACCATCAATGGTATTCAACATCTGGAAAGTTTGTGTATGTGTTGACTGTAATATTAGATAGAGGCTGTGCAAGGAGTCAAATGTATGTGTACTGTTAATATGTATGACCTAGCTCTTGGGTCTCACACCTGGTTTACACACAGATCAGAAGCTTACACATTTAATTCAAAGTGGTCCAGCAGGAAGGCTCACTGCTGGTTTTGTATTGCCCTGAAATATATTCCCTCAGCTTTAAACAGCCTGCCCACTGCTTTACTTCCATATGTGTGCCGCCCCCAGCAGAAACAGCGGTACTGCCCACTGTGAGCAAAAGGAGTAACAGATAATGCAGTCTGACACGACTGGTGCAATAAAACTCATATTTCTGAGTTTTAAAAAGAAATCACTGGATAACGATGAGTTTTGAAATTGTTAAGTGTTCATCTTTTCTTGAACGGGAAAATTTGGTTGATTGATGCAGCCGGGATGCTGCAGTGCAGTAATCAAAAGTGAAAAACATGTCTGAGGGGTGAGGAAACAGTTACTCATGACAAATTTCTGATTATGTATTCTCAAGAGGTTGTCATCTTAAGTTCTCATAGCTGTTTGGGTAAGGCCAAGTTGTTCAGACATTACAGTGTAAGGCGGTGAGCAGTGAGAGCGCAGCACGGCTTGACAACACACAAAGCCCACTCTGTCTCACTCCAGTTCCATGGCGGGAAAGCAGGAAGACTTCTGTCATTTCCCTGGATGATGGGAATCCTACAGGTGCACGCAGTAAGTGAATGACGATGATAAGCAAGTGACTGAACATTTAATTTCAGCCTGGCACAGCCATCATCGCTCTCTCACAAACAGTGCTAACCCTTTCAGCTGCGGGGACGGCTGTGTAGCCCCGTTGATCTAGACTGTCCTTGCTAGAAGGCCATGTGGTTGGAACCTGACATTTTTATTCTGAAATGCTATCAGACGCAAAGATCAATAGACATTGCAGGAATTCAACATTTACCAACTTTTAATTGTTGATTAGCTGAAATTTAATTGAAGCTCGTATGACGAGCCAACACAAAGTAAAAGGAAAAAAAGAAAAGGAAATTAAAGTACAATTATTTTATGGCTCCAACACAACAGAATCTTGCACTGCAATAGCCTGACATGTTACTTCATTATAGTGCTGATTAACTGGAAGCCCATGAAGGATAATTAAGGTTTTTATCTATTGAAATTCAGCAAACTGACATCTTATTTTATGAGGAAATACTTTCATAATTCTTAATTATTACTTCCTTTTTAGGATCAATATCTTTCAGGCAACACTGTCTCAATAATAAAGACTTGTATTGTACATTATTATATTAAAAACATATTTATTATCTTATGATTTACCCTTAAATTTCTACAGTTCATGATTTCACTGTATAAAACCAGACTGTATAAAATAATTGACAGTCACCGTGACGTCAACCAACGGTTTGTGGACTCCCAATCTGAAGCACTGAGTTTGGCATGCTGGCCGTCACAATCTTGGAATTTTGGAGCCATTAGCGACCATATGTGAACAAGAGAGTGCAGCTGTGGAGGACCGAGGGGTGGATCTGACTGAGAGCCCAAGGACGCTATCTACAGACAGCAAGCACACCCTGAATTATGTGTAATTTTAAGCCTTAACAAAATATTAACAGGGGAGTTGTATAAAAGGTCACCCTCTATACAGTTGTCATGAACGTTAAAATTAGCTATAGAGAACAAAACTGTTTTTACCAGGTTGTAAACACGTTTATTTCTGCTGCAAAATTGGGTATTTTAACATGGGGGTCTATGGGGATGACTTGCTTTTGGAGCCAGTCTCAAGTGGCCATTAGAGGAACTGCAGTTTTTGGCACTTTGGCGAAGGCTGTATGTTTCAGCCGCTTGTGTAAAACCTCTCATCACAGAAACTCGTCCCATGTAAAATCAATGACACCTCATGGTTTGCAGCTCAAATCATGTGATTACTCCTAATCACAAAATGGATGATCCTCAAAGCTGCATGCTGTTTGTCTCTTGGGGAATAACGTATGATAAAAAACACTGATCAGGCAAATATTTTGCAAAGTAAAATCTTTATTTAGATCAAGTTGAAATTAACGTGCCTCGTCTTGTGAGACACTTCACAACAGACATTTACCCAGATAATGTTTGAAAAACATTTACAATGGTTTGCACATTAAAATAATTAATAATTATTAATCATTTTCTCCTTCGTGTATTTTTAATACATTTCTAGGGGAGCATTTATTGTGTGTAAAATCAAAATAAATATTTATTCTTATAACAACTGATTGTCTTTAAAATGAGAAAAAAAATGTAAAAAAATAAGGAAACAACACATATACAAATAAGCCTTTTAAGAATATTCTGCATTCAATAACTAAGCATGTTATTGTAATATTCTAGATGAAACCACTGACTGAAATATTCAGGATAGTTTCCTACTCTTTCACACTTTGTTTCACCCCCCATCAGACGACGTCATGCACTCATCTGTAAATTATCCTCAGAAACTGATCTGGGCTTCCCTTTAAAGTACACCTTATTTATGGGATGTATAGAGGAGAGAGTGTGACATTCCTGTGGGGATTACTAAAGCAGCAAGCGCGTGTTGTGGGATTATCCAGGCAGCCACCCGTGGTCTTCAGCAGACATTTAGGTATCATCAGAATCATAAAAGACAGCAGAAAGGTCCAGATGTCAAAGGTAGAATGGTCAGATGAAGATCCTGAATAGGTCTCCATAGGTTCATTACTGTCAGTGTGAAGACACACTGTGATGACCTCAGGACCTAAAGCTGGTAGCAGAGGTAAAGGAAGAGGTGAGGAGGTGAGGACAGAGTGACAACATAACCCTATTAACCCTCTGCAAAAACACCCCTCAGGTAGTTTGAGCCACAGAACATCTACGGAATAAAAGAGCAGATGAAAAGGAGAGACGAGGGGGAGGTCAAATTATTGTTCGCAAAATGCTAGTTTAGAAAGTGGAAATGAAAGAGATGGCGCATAGTTTATTTTCGTAATGAAAAGAGGGAGGAAAACATCAGCAAGACATGATGAATAAGCAGCAACAAAGCAGCTTCAGTTCGTTGTTGGTGACACCCTGTTTTCTGGGTGTAGCCTGTTGTCCCTCAGTAGTTGTTACTCTTTCTCTGGTCTCACACAGAGCCAAGGCCGAGGGGCCTGGCAGCCAAATTCGAGCTCAGGGCGAAGTCAAACCCTTGAGAAATTGCTTCCATACTCCTGGTCCAGTTTCTCTACCATGATCTCCAAGTCATTAGCAGCACCAGCAGTTCCTGAGGAAGCACTGGAGGGCGTTAAGTGCCTGTTATCACATGACTGCTAACGCATGTAGGCAAAGTCTTAACAGCAGCTCCAAATGGAGGACGCAGTTTGTGAAAGATAGGGTCATTAATTATTCATCTTTTGATTTATTGAAGACAAGAGACAAGCAGCAAGTCTCCCATGAGAGCTGTGGCAGGTAATTGTCACAGTTAAAGCAAACCAGATGGCAGTGACATGCTCTGGCTTTCTGAGAATTGCTTTCTCAATCTGGGACGAAATCTGGCATCAAATCTGGGGACACCTCCAGGACACTGTTGCCTGGTTGTAACTGTTTTGGTTGTGTGTATTGAGAATAAGGTTGACTGGCCGAAAGTAGCTTGCCACATAGCTGGAGAGGGATCAAGAAAACCTGTTCATCAGAAAAGCCTTAGATTCAGGGCTTTAATCATGTTCATGATGAGTCCCGGATGTCATCTTTTCATTGGAGAGGGTGAAGCCAAGACAGAGAGACAGAGAGGCAAAGACAGAAGGGGAAACGAGAATAGACAGAGGGGGAAAAAGTGAGGGTGTATATAATTTGCACTAATAAAACAAACATCACATTTCAAATTCAATTTTTCAGTCCTCAAGATGGAGGTGCATTTTGGGAAATACAGTTTAATATCTGAATATGAACCAAGGCTGAATAATGTTTCTGTGTATTTCACCCAAGAAGTTCAAGAAAAAGATGTGTGCAACAAAAGAAATCAGATACAATGCAGAGGCGAGGGTGCAAATGACAGAAGATGTGCATGTTTTCACTGGAACGAAAAAGCCACTGCTGTCAGTGCACAGTTGGACCAAGCGACACTACACACTGCAGTAATTTTCTGTCGTGTTTATTTGCCAGCCAACACCCAAATGTAAGCGGTGGGAGAATGTTCTGAGGGTTTTAGATTTAAAGGAGCTGTATGCAACATTCAGCGCATGTCTATGACTCAGAATCTAGGCTGGGATTGTCTACACACGGCTCTCAACATGGAGGTGGCTGAGCTGGCGGCTGGCAGCTAACGGTGCTAACAGTGGGGAGGGGCAACAGGGTGGGCATTATGCTTCTGCCATCATGGGACAGGACGGTAACCACCATATAAGCACAGTGTAGAGCATCAGTGATTAGCTTCACATGCACTAACATGCACATGTAGCCACACTGGCTGCCAAAACAAAAAACAGAGAAGCTCAGATTACGACACAAAGAGAGGGAGCATGACTTCATTATCTGCTCAAAACGCCATTACTTAACTGTATTTTGACATAGCAAATAGTTGTTTGCTGCCATATTAATGCTCTGAATGTCACATACAGACCCTTTCAAAGAAGTATCACTACAGCAAATGTAGGACAGGTACTGCCCGACTGCAACCAGTGAATCTGAAGAAGCTACTGCAGTGTTAAAAATACTTCTAAGTTATTTGTGCATTTTCTGAATATACAGAAGATGTTGCTTTTAGACTTTTTTGCAGCTGAAGCGTAATGTACAAACAACATGCAATGTTAGTCTGAGCCCATCTATTCTGTTAAAAGGCAGCAGTCCAATAACCTCCGGTCGTTCTATTGCAGTGCGTCAGTATGAGAAAACATGCAGCTGTTGAATGTGGAAAGACCTCACAACATTGTATGTATGAGCCGGATGTTTGGGAGACACCTCTGAAAATCCAAATATTAACAGAAGCTGATTCATATCTGCAACTCTGTCAGACCAGTAAGTCCATCTTTCCAAAAGTCATGTTGTTGAGATGTTCACACCCATAGAGATGAACTCTAAATTCAACTCATGCTCCCAAAGGAAACTCATAAAGTGTAAGACATTAAATGCCATAAACAATATATTAATACTTATTTTCTTTTTAGCTGAGCATATTATGGCATTTAACCCTTCCTACTTGGAGAGACTATTCTTCTGCTGTGGTCAGAGGCGGCAGGAGGAGTACTTCATCTTCCAGTCAGTAAGGCAATTAATGCTATAAGGTGTAAGATGAATAAAACCATAATTGTGCAGAAATGTGCAAGAACTCAAAGCTTAAACTGTTGGATGCTGGGAAGCGTGCATGTGTGGGCTTTTCTGTAACACCAATGATGACGACAAAATGATGATTCAACCGCCTTTAATGGGAGCAGAGGAAGGAATGGGGGATAAAAATTCGGTAGGGCACCCCACATCAGTTACTGTGGTGGTTTTTCAGAAGTTTGTCTGAGTGCAGAAAATGAAAAAAAAAATGATAGTTTAGGGGAAAAGAGAAATGTTTCACAGGGCCATAAAACAAAAAAGCTTGGAATGATTTCCTTGTATTGTTGTTAAAATCTGGTTTGAGGCCACATGGAAAAGCTTATTCTTCAATTGAAAGAGGAGCTGAGAGATTGTGTCATGTTGACACTATCTTAATATGAGCTACTTGAAAATCTGCAACATGTAATCTCGCTTTCCTATCTAAACTCCTCCAATGATAAGTTTTGTCCTTGTTCTACTACTGTATGTGAAGAGAAGCTCCACAAAATTCCACTTGAAAATAACCCACTGATACCCACTACCATCTGGCTTTTGTATTCAACGGGAAAGGTTACAATCTGTAATCACTCCCAGGACAAATGACTCCACAATAGCCTCGGGTATTATCAGCTCTATCTCTGATTGGCTTCGATCTGCAGTGATGGAAATACGTCACCAGGTCGCATGTGCTAATTTTGGTTCGGTTGTCGGCATGATGCAATGACGGGCTGCCACAAACTATCGTCCGTCCCTATACAAATACTTCTTGAACATCTTCAAAGTGTAGTCAGCTCCGAGTTTGAAAGAGAGAGTGCATGGCTTCTACGCTGCTTTCTACTGTTTACTAACCTGTCTTCCAGCCCGTCCCTCTACCACAGTCATGTACACGGCTCTGGTCTACTGGCAATGGGAAAGCAGTCAATCACCTATTTTTAATGTGTTTTCCTACATTTAAAAACCAACATACACAGGCTAATTTTGGTGCAAAAAGGGTATTAATAAACTCAAAAAGGTTAAGTAGGGGAAGCTGTGGCAAAAACAACTGATACCAAATAAGGTGACAAAGTGTTGGCACTGCATTTGACTGACCTGCTGTTTTAGTCCTGATCAGAAGCCTCTGGGCTCGGGGTGGGAAGAAACCTACGCTTCCGTCTCGGTTGTTCATCTTCGTCATCAGAAAAAGTCCGGTCCAAAGAGATGCCCTGGCTCACCAGATTATGACCTGCATACAGTATGAACAACACACACAGAGACACACACAAACACAGAACTGTTCAGAAACCACCTCTGATACCATGGGCCTCACTATACCATAACTTTCTTTACAGTTTCTATGCATCTCTGATTAATGATGTCACTAAAGCACCTCATTAATTTCAAAAAATTATGGCTCTGTAAATCAAAGGTACTAGATGATAATAACATTTCTTCTAAGGCTGGACCAGAATATTCAACTATTCATATACTCGTCCATTAGGTTTTGAATTTCGGAATTAAAATATTTGTTGAATTTTTCAAGGAATGACAAAGAGATTCTAAATAAATATAAATTTTATGAACATAAATGTCACATCTTAAATTTGTTGGAGCTAATATGCTGTTTCTGCACTTCTGTTTCACAGCGCTTTGTCAGGCGTTGTGTCAGATTCAGAGCCTTTTATTATGAGTATTTATGTCAGTCTATAATTTATCCATGATAAGAAAAGTTGTCACAAGCTGCCCAACTGAAGGCAAAGAAAATAAATTATTTTATATGGCACTGAAACACTGAATCATAGTGCATATTATGTTAGATGTGAGTGAATAACAGGATCCTTAAAAATTACTGCCTTTAATCAAACTGAAAGACATGTTGTGGCCTTGTGCTGACCATCTTATAGCTGAGAAGGGAGAGATGTCTGGCTGAGTCCTTCCTGAGTCATGTTAAGCATCCCCTGGAGACAAATGCCCCAAAGTGTCTGCATGCTTATGTCTTGTCTTGTTCTGCATTTTTGGGATTTTTGGTCTCATTACCAAAGCCCAAATTGTCCATCTTCATCGTTTAACTCGATCGTCCATTAGTGTCATTTGTGGCACTTCTGTGGCAGTCTGGGGGCATACTGCCTCAGATAACCTCTGTTAACCTTGGTCAGCTCCACACCTAAAGTCCCTATCAAGAATAGAGATCTGGCATTCCATGCAGGCACGGTCAGATACAATCGTTTCTATTTGGACGGACACTCAAACACACCTGTTTGCCCTTTCACACCACTACTGCTAGATTGATAGATTGAGCAGTTGTGTTGCATAAAAAGAAAAGCTTGGATGACTTGATTAGCTTTCTGATTAGGAGATAAAACTGTGGATAGTGAAGTTAAAGCAACCGTTAATATCCACAGTGAATATAGAGAGTGAGTCTGATATTACAGTCCATCTGACAGTTAAAAAGCCCCTTCTAACATTTCTATCCATTCCTTTCTTCCCTCTCCGACACTCCCTCATCCCTTCAGTCACACTGCCTCACTCCTTTCCATTTACTCCCCTTCCTCCATCTCTATCTCTTTTATCTCTGGTCACCCCATTGTGAGTGATATGTTTCCTGTGTTACCATCAGATGCTAAACCGAAGGGGATAGGTCAAAGAGAGAGTTTCTTCTTTTGTGTCCAGTCCTACTCTGTCATTACTCTCTTATCAGGCCTTGGCTATATGAAAACACACCTCGAGGCACAAGGGTTAACTGGGGCCAAGCATGTCAAAGGGAAACTGAGTAGCCCACTATGTCAGTTACGTTTGGGTAGATTTCTAAATGCAAAGGAAACATCATTCTGCTGTTGTGCATACAATTTCTGATCTGGGTCAAACTTTGCAACAGCCAAATGGGTGGGGACCCAAGTTGAACACAACACATGCCAGTGAGGTCTCAAATTCACCATAGTTTACTGAATCTACTTACTGTATGTGTTTAGTGAATCTGTAAACACAAAAGATTGTTGTGTCTCATACTGTCTGTTTCACGTCCTCAGATCGTTGCAAAGGTGGCTATGGACTGATTGGTTGCTGGGGTTACCAGACTAAGGCTGTGCAATATAAACAAGAAGGAATAACAATGCATTAGGCAGCCATTAGCATATTGTAACAGCCATTGACATGGATTTATGGCTTGTTTCCACCACGGCCAAGTGATGACCAAGAGAGAAACGCCCAGAGATGGATTTGTTGGACAGCTGAGTTAGTGTAAATACTACAACAAGTTTAGGAAACACACCCATATTGTTAAAAAACTGTGGACACAGAGAGAATATGGGGCCAAATTCATGAGGGCATGAAGATAAGAGGTAAGCGCCGACTAAAAACACAACAAAGCATTGTAAAACAGTTCTGGACTGCTAACAATAAAGTGCTTGAGCCAAGACCCGACTGCGCAATCTACAACCTCCATCCATCTTCATTGAAGGGGGTGTGTGTCCATGTGTGTGTGTGTGTGTGTGTGTGTGTGTGTGTGTGTGAGTGTGTGTGCAGAAAATGAGAGCCAAACAGAACCTGCTGATGTCGCCATAGCATCAATGTGTTTTGCAACTGGAGGGGTATGAGTTTGGCTTTGGACACACACGTCTTTTGAGAGAGCGGTCAGCAGGTTACCCAGCAGATTGTAACTCATAGTACGTGGGGTATGACTCAGCATGATGTGACATCACGCCCGCTCTGCGTGATGCAGGAAGGGGAAGACCACCTCACGGCTGGCCGTGTTGAAGCAATCACAGCAGACTTTGCTGGGTGGGTTTATGACTCACTGACAAGTGTTTCCCAGAACCCGGCTACCCGAGGGTATATTCTCAACTTGTGTGTGCTTTTAAGTTTACATTCAAACCCCCTGCTTACATAATCAATTACGCTCAACTGTCAAGTTTATTAGACAGTAAAATCAGTTCAAGGAAAGCTAAAGCTCAAGAGTTTCACTTTAAGTCTGCATCAATACTGAGTCACATCGTGACCTATGACATCACAAGGAGTACCGGGAATGGGCGAAAAATTGCCATCGTTAATGCCTGCACACCCTGCTCCACCAAATCATGGTGCATGTATGTATGAGGAACACTGGGGCATGATGAGTTGTTGGTGTGTTTTTGTAACAGTAAATTTCTATAATGGTGACCTATGAAGGAGTCCCAAATAATGAAGCCTCTGAGGACAAGGTTTTAAAGGGACAGTTCATCCCACATTTTAAATACATATTTTACAGAGTGTTCAAGATGACGGCCATAATGGTGTCTGCCTTCTCTTGAATGAAATGGAACTAGATGGCACTCTGCAAAAACAAACAGGTTACTCAAGATAATCCAGAGACCTTGCTGTGAGCAGTTTCATGGAGGAACTATTTTCTTTTTTACTGAACTACATCCGCCAACCATGTCACTGCGCAGAAGGATGTGTGCATCTACTGCTAGCTCACATAGTACCTGCAAATTAGCTAACATTAAGACTCAGCTGAAGACGACACATCACTGTTTACATCTCACACTGTCACAAGCCCCTTGTTTATGAGTAGATGCACACTACCTTCTGTGTGGTGATACAGTTGGTGGGTGTGGTTTGGTGGAGAGAAAGTAGTTCCTATATGAAACTGCTCACAACAAAGTCAGTGAATTATCTTTAGTAACCAGGTCATGATTTCTGGAAAGAGACATTACTGTTGAGGTTTTATTGCTGCTTTTAGCACCACGAGCTGAGTGCTAACTAGTTCTATTATATTTGAGAGAATGCATCCATCTCTGTGGCCGATATCTCCAACACTCACAACAAAACAATCAAGGAAAAATATAGTTTTGATTTCAAGCCCAGTTCAGACCAAAGATTTGCAACAAGATGAGCTGAAACAGACAACTTCCTGCAATGCACCGATCTGCAATGTTCTAAAAACCTGGTGGTTCACACCAAGTCAACTAGATGAGATGGTGTATCATCTCTGCAACAATTCTCTGTACTTCTGTTCTGATTTCCAGCTTTTCAGGCTTTTTTTGTGGCTGAATCTGATTTGTAGCTTCTTAAAATGTGAATACAGATGGACAGTATTCATAATGAATACTCCACAGTAATATGAATAACCAGCGCCAATTAATTAGTCAATAAGAATGTGTGTGTGAAGGTGCATAAGAACATACAGCGAGCAGCAGCACCGTGAGGACGGAAACAGAGGGCTCAGAGGGGACAGAGCACCTGGTGCAGCAAGCGAACACACCGTCTGCGGTCATTTTGACTTCACTACAAGCCGATTGGCTGTACAAACAGGCGAAGTACTCCACATTCTAAAACCAGCCACCAGCAATTTGACCAGCGGAGTTGCAGGTGACACCATCAGCCAGCTTGAGTCGAGCCTTGACGGCCAGTTCTACCGCTGCAACTTTCTCTGCAACGTTCTAAAATAGTTCATCTCGTCACAAATCATTGGTCTGGACTAGGCTTTAGGGTGACATGTCCCTTTAAATTACTTCTGAAACATCCTAGTGTGTATTAAGCCTACTGTATGTGGCCCCATCCTCCACCCTCTCTAACTTACATGTGTTGTCTGGCAGCTTTGCATTTTATGCTTAAATGTGCAGCACTATCATCATAACCCTGTCACCTGAACCCAAATATCACTTCAGCTTTCTCCAGCTCACATTTGTGCATGTTAACACAAATACACAGCTAACTGCCAATTCTTCTTCTTCATGTTATGAATTGCATTGGTTAGGCTCGGCCTTACCCCAAGAGAAAAGTCTTTGTTATTTCTTTCTGAGTAATTGGAGGGCAAGGAGATGTTTCAGTCTGGTTATTATCATTGATATTGCTGTTGCAACATATTCTGACGCAGGCAAAGATTAAAACAATTGATTTTTTTTTTTCTTTTTCATATAATTCATCTGTAATACCCAATTATTCATTCTGAGTTGGCAGAGAATTGTTTATTTAATTGGCTTTGGCGCAGTTTTCCCTCTGAAAAGCAAAACACTTCATACACCACACATATACACACACACACACACACACACACACACACACACACACACACGCACGCACACACACACACCTGAGATGAGAATAGTTGGCTCCTGAGATGGATGGAAGCTCTGAACTGTCTCCTCTCTTCTGTCCTGACTGTCATCTTCACCATGAGTTGTGTCATTGTCACTGAAGGAAAGGACACAAATGGTTTATGTAGAACAATCAGTGTGTGTGTGTGTGTGTGTGTGTGTGTGTGAGCGTGAAAAAACAGAAAAGAAAAGTTAATGCGCATTAATGCTCTGGGAAATACAGTATCTCATTTTACTATGCTGGCAAAACCTTTAGATAATCATCTTTTAATATTTTACATTACTGACCACAGGGGACGGTGACAAAGCCAGACACATGAGCAGCGATTACTGCATTAGTAAAATCTTCCATCTTTATACTGTGGTCCACTATGGTGACAAATATAATAACACAGGCTTATAAAGAAACAAATTAGACACCATCTCTGTTCTACAAAAGCCAAAGGTGTGGCAACATATACAGATCTGACAGCGCTGTGCTCTGACCCGCCTGGAAACAAAACTTGCAAGTGTGAAACAATGACTACTCTTTATACAAAAGTTTTAAGTGCTACACAGTAAATAAGCTAGATTGATTTCCATGCTTTAAGTCAGTGGTTCCCAACTGGTCCAGCCATGAGGTCCAGATTTCTCCTTGGTCACTGATTCAAGGTCCACCCAGTTTGATATATTCAGCATCACACTTGCATTTTGCCATGTCATCGAGCTAGTTTGCTGTCTCTAATAAGTAGTTGTCCATTAATCGCTCACTTTATAGCAGCAAACGGCCCTTCAAAATAAAAGCTCTGTGCCGGAAGTTCACTGTACTTAAAAATAAAGTGTGTTTTTTACAAACTTGACATGTTTGCGAGTCACTTGCAGTCCATTCAGAATGGACTCGCAACCCACCAGCTGGGAACCACTGCTTTAAGCGTTTCTCATAAAATTTCAAACAAATAATGTGTACCTGCAAGAAAACAACCAGTCGATCCACAGAAAATTCATCAGCATCTTTTCTGATTCATGTCAGTTTTCATAAAAGAACTAGATGCTGTTTCTTGCATTGCCTTACAGTAAACTGAATATTTTTTATTTCAGGCTGTGGGTCAGAAAAAACAAGATTTCTTATGACATTACGATGGGCTCTACAAAGTTGTGATTTGGCCAGTCACGCTAAATACGTAATCAAATTATCATGATCGGCAAAAATTATCGTATAATATTGTCCTTGTGTTTACATGCACGTTTGTTTACATAATGTCAACAACATTTTAGCCAACATGATGCCAGAATAAACCACAGGGTTTTCCCTACCATAATAAGACACAGGCACAGCTCCTTAGGATTATTTTCATAGTGCCTAACCACCTAATAAACAGAAATAAAACATGCTGAGACATGTTTTGCAGTCATTTCAGGTCGTGCTGCTCCTGTCCTCTCATCTGCTCTCTGTTTCTGAGTTTTCAAATATTTTGCCAAATGAAGAATCGAGAAAATAATCGGCAGATTAATCGATAATTATAATAACTGTTAGCAACTGTTAGCTGCAGCCTTATCCATCAAATCTGTTGCTTTGTTGTTGTTTTTTTGTTTGCTTGTTTGTTTGGTTTTCCTTTTTGGATTTTAAGCTAGCATAATTTTTTGGTATGCTTCGTAATCATAGTCATATGGGTTGAAATGTTAATTAGTCAATCACATTGTGTCTTGTGAATATTTGACATAAATCCCCCAATGCAATAGACAACAAATCAGTGCTGTAGGTCCACACTTAAAGGTTTGACCTGGTAGCTAGGTCTTCATCAGACCCAGAGGTTCATAAACAGATGTATTCAAAAATTAAAATATGTGAGAAACACGAGTAACAAAGCTAGCCACTTACACCAGAGCATCACAGAATTAGTGAAAGTCATGCAAAATCAATCTGCTGACCTCTGTCTCCGCTCCTCATTAGTCTGTTGGAGCTGGCGGACAGCCCCCTGCAGGCCTCTGATCTTTGCCTTCTTCTCATTCAACACCATGACGAAACGTGAGTACAGCGCCCCCTCCGACATCTCCTTATCCTTAACATGCTTCTCCAACCTGGTGAGAGAAACGCACCCATGTATGTGCAAAAACATGCATTCAAGCAAATGGACTTTTACTTGTACGTATGCGCTCGCACATTAACACACGTGCACATGCAAACACAGACAGACCAGTGCATGTTTTTGCAGCTGTTGTTTCTTGTTTCTTTTGCCCTCTGAGAGTAATTTGCTAAGAGGGATGATGCTGACGCCTCCACCCAGTGCAGACATAAGTCACCCCCATCCTGCGTCTCTGGCAATGCTCCAGTCATTGGCATCAACAGGAACTAACAAGCTGATAAACACTTACACAAACAAACGGCTATTTGAAAAAAAAACGTTATATTTGAAATGAAAGACATACAAGTGAATCATTTGAAGTCAGTTCCCAGAAATCACAAGCCCAGTTTGCAACACTGGGTGGAACTCTTAATGCTCTTGAAAGGGCGACCAGTGATGATGTCATACTGGTTGATTGCTGTGCATATAAACAGCTGGCAGCACGACTTAAAAAGCAAAGAGAGCTTGCATGCAAACAAGACAAGCAGCAAACAAATACCAGCAAGGAACATCTTAAGGAAATAATTTCATTCTGTCGGGGTATTTTCCATTCAGACTTGACCTTTGCTCTGCATCACATATTTTCTCAAAAACACACATTTCAATCCATCGGCACAAAACACTGAGCTGCGTTCCTCCAAATCCTTACTCTCTGAGTATCCTCTGGTGCTCCCGTTTCAGTCTACGGTTCTCCTCCAACAGCTGGTAGTTTTTTGACTCCAGATCTGCACTGCGCTTCAGGGACTGGCCAATCATCTCCCGGTTCAGCTCTAGAGGATCTGGAGCTGGCTGGAGCTCCACCGAACCCAAGTGCACCTGCAGAAAGAGGAGTAGAAAAGAAAAGGAAAAGGAAAGCAAGATCAAATAAGACTACAAACTGCACAAGCATTTATATCTAAGGCAATAAATGTTTCTCTGCAGGTTGGCTGGCCTCATCATTCATGAACAGTATATGGGAGGATCTTAGTACTCTGCACTGACAGGTGGTGGTTAAGATAGTTCATGCCACACGGTAAGCATAACTTCTAGCTGCCTTTGAGTATGACCGACTGGGAGGAGACAACAGGACCAATTCAAAACTACATCTCCCAGCTGCCAAGTGATCCTCTGTAAGGAAAAGCTGGGGGAAGTTGGAAGTAAGAAAAGCACATCTGGCGCTACAATTACAAACGGATGCACAGATGAATGGATTAAAGCAATGACATCACATTTCAAGCAGCTTCCAAAACATGCTTACAGAAAAAAAAAATGAGTAAGCATTCGCACCTTATCCTGAGAAGCTCCGCAATATAGAGGTGCAACAAACCATTACATCACATTTTCTCTGATGTGAGAGATTTTTTATGAAGTTGAGGTGTTTTCTTCTGTCTGGGAGGAATACAGGATGAATTCATTGGTCACCAGTAAAATATGCAAGTGAGCACACAGTTTCCTCTCTGTTGCTTCTTCTCTGTGACTCTCTGGAATCACAGACATACTTCAGATGTAATAAAACATTCCTCATTTGGTTTGCATTTGGCACTTGGTCACTGAAGCATTGCAGAGGGTGACAAAAAAAAACGCAGAATACCCAGAAGCACGGGAACATAGGTCAACCTGGAGTGCACTCATTAAAGCTGCCACACCAGACATATTTTCAAATACCTGCCCAATCTTTGTTTGCTTGTTGCCTTGGAGATTCTCCCATGCACACACAGAGGTACAGCTCATGATGCGCTGGGAAACCAGAAGGTGATGAGGTGCTAAATCTTCACTGGGCTGTGTCGAGGCCACAGACCCACTGTAATAAAGCCGCCATCTTCAAAAGCTCTCATAAAATACTTGTCATTTTTGTCCTGGGCCGATGCTGTCCTGGCAGGCCACACAGCTGTTTTCCCCTCCACTGGTGAACCTGCACACGTTGAGTGGACATTCACTTCACATCGCTCCCACAGTTTCACTACCTCAGCCTTATCATCTCGGCTTTGGAAGTTTCTTTTTGACAATGTCAGACTTCCTTCTCTATGTTTTCTCCCCTCCCTCTCACTTTGTCTCTAACAAAACTAACTTTTCTGCAATGTTTTGTAAATTAAATACACTATTGCTATTGAATGAAACCTGTCAAATCCTTTTTGATGCCTGAATTAATAACCAATATCTTTAGAGATCCCCTGACTTTTCCTCTAAGGCCACCTGCAGATCAAACTTTTCACTAATCCAGTGAAACGTCTAAACATCTACGACGCAGATGGATTGGCACAAACTTCTGAATGTTCTGAGACCATGTATCCTTATCACCGATCCCTCACTTCTCTCTATGCGCATCAGCTCAGAATTCTAATCTTCCATTTACAACCAAATATCTGCAAAAAGAATGACAGTCCCATCAGCCTGAGCAGTACTACCTGTTTCGTGCTTATTAGCAGATCTTAGCATGCTAACAGGCTAAACTAAAATGGTAAACAAGCTAAACAATACAACTGCTAAAAATCAGCATTTTAGCATCATTGCTGTGAGCATGGTAAAGCTAGCAGTTAGCTCAAAGTACCACTGTCCCTACGTACACTCTCACTGAGCCACTAGTGTGACTGCAGACTCTAAGGCCACATTCACTTTGATATGTTTTTATTCAACAATCGGCGTACACACAAGTGTTTTAGCAACATTTCAGAAATAATCTCTCATACTTTCACGCCTGAAAACACATATCAGATGTCCATTTACGTGTACAAGGAGGCATGCACGTGTCAGTGTAACAGGAAGCAGATTGTCTATCCTGCACTTGGTTGCTTACTTACAGAAAATACTACGCAGATGGCAAAAAGTGAGACCAGAGATTTCTTTGCTTGGAGCCAGAATTGTTACTGAAAATAACACGAGTATAAGGAAGTCAAGGCGATGGAAAAGAAATGAGGGAGTCACTGCAAAGCTAATACAGTGACATATTGGAGCGGTACCATCCAGGAGCTTTATCCGTCACCAGAGGAAACCCTGGCATTGGCTTGGCACGTCGTCACTGATAAGTTAGGAAGCCAACGTGGGTGTCTGCGTTATCGCTTCCAATAGTTTCAGTTTCCTCCTGTCCTGACTGAAACGCAACCCCAGAGTTTTTAAACCATAACAGGGTCAGCAGCATTTTAAGAGACCATTTTACGGATTACAAAATGGAGTAGTATGGACGTTAGGCTAAAATGTAGCAATTATGCATTTAAAAAATAAAACATGTATGTAGGCCTAGACTTAGTCTTGTTTACATGGGATCTTGTTTTTGTTTTGGGGCTTGAAAGCCACCAATCTTTAATACATTACCTTCCTCTGCAAGATACAAAATGCACGCCATGAGCACAAGGGCCATGTACATCTTTGAGTGCATTGGGAGCATGAGATAAGAAAACAGACTGCTTGTCTGGTCAAAAACACTCCTCAGTGAATTCAAATATTATTGATTTCCTCAAAGATAACGGCTCCATTCAGTGCCAATCCAAAGTTAACTGAATATAGATGAAGAGATAATTCTATAAAAATCTCTTTGAATAGTGACACGCTTATTCAGTGCCAGTGCTGCTAGTTTGATCAAAACAAGGAAATCAGCGATTTAACAAAAGTCACCTTAATAGGATGGGGACACAGAAGAGACCACCCAGGATCTAAGGCGGATGAGGTTCCCAAAGAGCTCGTAAAAATCTAGAACATCAGGATGTCACAGTGATACAGTGCAGGCTCCTCTCGGGGATTAAGAGGACATCTGTGACACTGAGCTTTGTAAGGAATTGGCAAGACGCCATTGTGATGCAGTGTTGTGCAAGATGGTCAACCATTAATAAGAAAGGGTGAGACTAGTGTAGGAAGACGCCCAGTAAGAATAGCTGATGTTTGTCCATGAGAGCATGTCTATACATTCTATTTAAGCCCGGCAGATAAAGATTAGGCTACACTCATATTATTAGTATTCTTCTATTTGTAGAACTAGATTTTAGTAGCAGCAGCGTAGGATTTTTTACGACTTGTGTGAGTTCTATTAAGTCCAAAGGTCAAATTTTTCCAAAATTTACAATATGTTTTATCTCACAAAATATTCTGCTTCAACTCATATTTGTTGGCTTTTAGACTTGTACACAAAGCAGGGTACACACCTGTATTTAAAGGTGGTTTAGTGGCAATCTAACAGCAACAGCATCCCCAAATTAAGTTCAGTTGTTAAAGAAAGTTCCAAGGACTCCCTTTATTCAAACTGAGAATTTAGTTTGAGGATTTTTTTAAGGGGTGATGATGTCATTAAATATGACAATAGACATTCAAAAACCTCAGTAGAAGCTTCTCATGTAAAAAACTGACATTGAATACAGCACTGCATGCATGCAGAGCTGCACAATGTGTGAGGTGTAAAAGCTGTGAAAGCTTTAATCTGACCTCAAACCCTTCCTCCACCTCTCTCTACCTGCCCTTAAATCTTCGCTGTGCTTCCAGAGGGAAGCCATTTGGCAATAAATCAGCCACATTAGAAAGGATAATGTGAAGGCTTTGGACTCTGACACACTGAGTACACTAATATTTTAACACTTTAAAGTGCCAGAATGACCTACATTTACCGTACAAGTTTTACTCCATTATAAAGTCAAATGTCAAAATTTGTCATCAAAGTTTTACCCGACGACGTCGTTCGAGCCCATGAATCTTCCTGACCGGCGAGTTACCATGGTATTACCAGTTTAAGACACCAGATACAGACATTTAAACTGCTGGAAGCACAACCCTAATTAACTGGATTAACATTGGAAATGAAACTGCAGCTGCTGTTTATTTATTCTGCTCCTTCCTTTAAAAAACCAAAGGATGTGTCTTTACTTTCAGGGTTTCTGCAAGTAAACATGCGAATTCCAGATCACCAGAAGTTTACCTTCAGCGTACTGTGCAACACGGAAAAAGGAAGAATGCACTAAGCAAAATATAAATCTGGAAATGTTATGAAGCGGCATGCTTTGTTAGTGGTAATGCATGATTTTTTTCATTCTTTTAAGTTCCTTGTTGAAGGACAGAGAAGGGCTAAAAAGCTCCATTTATTTTCTTGAGCCTCTGCCTCCCTCCTGAGACACAGAGATAAAGCTAAAGGTCAGTCTGCACACTGCTGCCAGCCTCTGCCAAGGTGTGGGAGGTCAGACTGTGATCCACGACCCACTGCCACATTTTTCCACTGCGTTAATTAACTAAAACAACAATAAAAAGAATACATTGTGTGTAGCTGTTGTTTCAGCCTCTAACAGCATTAGACACATGGCTTTAATATGACAGTGGGGTGATTTATGACATTAAAAGATAACGACAAGACAGATGGAAAACTAAAAGCCCTCTACAATGAGATGAAATGCTTCCTCATTTCTTTGCAATAAATATCCCGACCTGGAAAACTCGTAAAAATCTCCATTTTGGGATGAAACATAGCGTATTTAACATCATCAAAAAAGAAGAAAAGATTTAGCAAAAAATGTAAATGTAATATATTTTAGGTTTCAGGATGTTTGTTCATTTGCACACAGTCTGATGTGTGTGTGGTCTCACTGTTTGTTTGCGTGTGTGTCTCCAGACAGCTAGCCAGACCGTAAGGTCAAACCCGTGGAGAAGGGGGGACGTAGGTGTGGAGGACAAAGCCGAAAGAACACAGTCCCAGTGAAAAAGATACCATAACACACTGTGGGCACAGAGGACACAAAGCTTCCCTTATCACACCGTCCAACACATCGCTGGAGACCAAACCCACTATTTATTCCCATAGATCAGAGGTGATTAAATAAATAAATAAAAAATAAAAATAAACAGTGATCAATAATATCACTGTAGGT